AGAGAGAGAGAGAGAGAGAGAGAGAGAGAGAGAGAGAGAGAGAGAGAGAGAAAGCAGCTGGGGAGATCGGGCGTTTTACGAGTCAGAGTAAATATGTGGACTCTGTATAGAGGAGACTCATTCCCCTGGAGTGTGTGGAGGATCCTGGCTGGGGTTTGTAACAGTGGCTGCAGAGGCTCTGGGTCCTTCTGGGATTGAGCCCACTCTGTCTCCTGGGAAGCCTGGGAAGGGGAATGGGGGTGGAAGACCTAAGACCCCAGAGGTAGATGACAGCTGGACATCACAGGCCCCACACAGGTCTAAACTTGGGCTATGGGCAAAGCAAAAGAGAAATGCAGGACAAAAGGGAAGGAGGGAGGGAGGGAAGGAGGGAGGGAGGGAGGGAAGGCTAGAGGCTTTCCTAGTAGTCCAGAGACTGTGGAGGCTCCGTCTCTCAGAGTAGCTTGAGCTCCAAGGAAGAGTGGAAAGTTGTTTTTGAACTTGGGAGTCACAACCTGCTTAGATGTGCATTTCCTTGGCCCTCTGTTCAAACTTCAATATCCCTTGGGACCCCAGAAGAAGGACTTGTATGGGTTGTTGCTGGATCTGTTTGTCCCTCTTTCCAATGTGACCACACTGGCTAAATCTTTTTCTGCTTTCCAGTTTTAATTGAGGACTGGTTGCCGGATGTGGCTTGGGGCATAGGTTGTGAGCCCCTGCTCAGTACTGTATTGTGGACAAAGGCAGAGAGCTGAGTACAGTACCAAAACTGTCCCTGATTCAAGAAATCAATCAATCATGGGAGGATGGCAGGGCTAGATGGGGCAGAGACAAGGAACCCACCCAAAGTGTGAATGTGAAGGGCCATGTAGGAGCCATGCTGAGTGGCAACACCCTGCACAAGGTTCAGTAAGTCCCCTTAGTGGCCCCTTGAGCCCTCCTTACTTTGGTCTTTCTGGGGAGTTCAGATAAATGTCAACTGTATATAGTAAGGTCTTTAGTCACCTAAAGAAGGAGGGTGTGGTTGAAATGTGACCGAGTGAAGGTTACCCCTCCAAGTCACCCTAGGTTGTAAGGTGGTGCTCTCCGTGGCAACCCCTCTCCCAGCAATTCAGATCTGTGTGTGTGTGTGTGTGTGTGAGAGAGAGAGAGAGAGAGAGAGAGAGAGAGAGAGAGAGGGAGAGAGAGAGAGAGAGAGAGAGAGAGAGAGAGAGAGAGAGAGAGAGAAATGAGGGCTTATACCAGCTAGTAGGACAAAGGAGAGAGGACCCCAGACAGAGCCAAGGGGAAAGAAGGATTTCATCAATAGCAGCTCTGGGAAACTTCTTCCCCATCCCATTCCTCTTCACCCCATTACTCTCCCTTCTGGTCCCTCCCTCCCCGCCCCTTGCCCCTTCCCCATCCCCATCCCTCTGTGTGGCTCACTCTCCTCCCTTCTGTCTTACTCTTCACTGTGCCCACTTGGCTGAATTCAAAGACTGAAGCCCTTTCTCAGCCATGTTGATAAACTAGCGGCATTTCAGCCGAGAGTCTGTTTTCTTCCTTTCCTGCTCCCTGAGATGCTGAGCACAGAGCTAGCCCAGAACAGTCCACCAGGCAAGTGAATGGGGTTCACTCAAGCTGGGCTGGACTTCCTCTGAACTGGAGAACACCATGCTTTACTCCCAGGAACTGAACTTCACCCACTGCCCACCACCCATTTAGTGGAGCTGGAGAGATGGCTCAGTCAGTAAAGTGCTTGCCATGTAAGCATGAGGAACCGAGTTCGTGTAAATAAATAAATGAATGAATGAATGAATGAATAAAAATCTGGGCATGAGGAAGAAACAGGAAGATCCCTGGGGCTTTGCTGGCCTACTAGTCTAGCCAATTCTTTTATTTAATTTTTTAATTTAAAAATATTTTTCATACAATGTATTTTGATCATATCCCCTCCCACAACTCCTATCAGATCATCCCTACATCTGTACCCACTGAACTTCATGCTCTGTGTCTCAAAACAAAATGGAAATCAATGCAAATTGTATATATCAGACAAAAAATACTAAAATGAAACAAAACCACACACAAAACCATGAACTCCATTTGCTGTTGGTCATTTACTCCTGGGCCTGGGACCTGGCCTGGAGTGTGGCTGATATACCCAGTGACTGTCCCCTCCCCTCCTTCCTCCTCCCCCCTCTTTAGGCTGAAGGACCCTATTCAGAAGAAGAGGCAGAATAATTATGAGAGATGGAGGTGGGGGTGACTCCAGGGAAACAGCATGTTCCAGACACAACGGGACTGACACACGTACCACCTCACGGAATTGTGAGTCTGTGACAACAAGGACAAGACCTTCACAGGCTCACGCTAGACCAAATTCTGACAGAAGGAAGGGGAAGTGTACTTACGGCCCTCACTCCTAACCACAAAGCTCTTTGCAACTGATACCAGCTGGGTAAGGGAGTCAGTTTCTCCAAAGGAGACTTACTAGGTGAGGTCTCGCCAAAAGTTTAAGTCTGAAACTCTGTGAGAGACCCTGTCCACTGATCTC